GGACCCGAGATGGAATTGATATGGCAGGGAACGCTGGTTTTTCATGAGTCGACTGAAATTTAATGTAGCAGCGAAAGGGTTAAAGGTTTGCAGGTCATTACTTGTGTGAGGACTACATACAACATTCTGCTAAAACTACAAGGAAAGGTACTCAGTGCTGAGACCTCTGAATATTCACATTTATAAGGGTATGCATATAAAATGTGTGCAATTTAAAAATAGATGGTTTCCCTTTTGATGATTACTTTGTGAGAAGCTTTACACGAACCAAATATATTTAGCATTTTAACTACTGTAAATATTATTTGATAATTTATATAATTGATATTTCCGTAACTGTGCAGTGGAACTATGCTAAGTAGACACTTCATAGTGAAACCTGCAGCTTCCAGGATTTTCAAAATACCATAAATTCAGTGGCATTCCCCATTTTTAGAATACAGCAAATCATTTTTATTTGGGAGAATTAAATTGGTTATCCACCAAGAATAAGTTCTGTATATACTGCACGGTAATTGGTCTCGCTTCCCTTGAAACTAGGGATAATTAATTTTGGTGATTGTTATTTGGCTCCTAAGAATCAAGTAGCCTTGCTCCAATTTTTGCCTCTTCAGATACTGTGGGGTACTTGAGGTTTCTTTTTCATAATTGTGGTGTTTGTAAATTTCTGGGACATTGTGTCTCATCAGTATAGTTTTTTCGATCAATGGCAAAAGCTTCAACAGGTAGACTAGATTTACTAGGATTTTGAAACCTAACACTATTGAAGTCAGGTAATAGCAGTTTGAAATAAAGGTACTGTACAGTAATATTGCTGAGATTTTCAATGAAATTACCAGTAGTTTGTTAAAAAAGTACCCTTCTATGGGGAATACAGATTCTGTTTAAGGAAATGTTTTAAACATTAAAATATGGGAAGATACTGTATTGGAAATGGCTTACATTCTATGCTGTACTTAATTCTGTCCAATTATTGATTACCAGTTAATAGTCTCTTAAAGGTAAAATGTATGCTTCAGTACTGTTTTCTCCTCAGTGAAGCATAAAAGTAAATTGCTTTTAACCCTTAGACAGCGGCTATGGAGAAAGTCATATGCACAAAAGAAAACACATTAAAGAATTATTAATTTGTATGCAGAATGAGAGAAAAAATTATTGAATAAGTATTTATCATTTCACTAGGCAGAGGCACTCTGCAAGCCTACGTCTGGCACTTGTTAACGCCTGGTGCTTAACTTTGATGAAAATTCCTGTTTTATCCTCCTATGTTTCACTGTTTTATCACTTTTTTTTTCTTTATTTACATCGACAGATAGGTTTTATATCCACATTTGCATTATACGCGTACAATCTCGACAATAATTGTTTAAATCGTCGTATGACGATGACCGAATTCCCCTAGTAACATTCATGATAACCATATTTGTACCATGTGAAATGGTAACAGGATTTTTCATGGGTCAAGATAAACTATTGCATCCACATAGACCTATTATATCCATATTTGCATCATACATGTAAAACACAGACAATAATTTTGTTAATCTTCAAATGACAATAACTGCACTACCCTGTGACTCGACATTTGATGATAACCGCTGTCTAAGGGTAGAGGAGTTTTATTCAAATTACATACATTAGTGAATTATATTCTTAAAGGAAAAGATCTTTATGCATTATAATTTAATGTATGTAATGACACCAGGAATGTGGCAGTAGTGTCTTATCCTTGAAGAGAAATTTTCCATTACTGTTGTGTTGCCTAATAAATCATTTTATTTCAAATTAAAAGCATTGTAGAAATAAGTTATGCATTATACAATTTTATTCTCTAGTTAAAATGAAGACAGTATTGGATAGTCAAATACAGGTATGATGCAGCCAATTTTATCCAAGAGTAATTGTACCAAATATTCATTATCAATTTCCCTTTTTCTCAGATGGCGTACTACAGAGGGCGAAATCCAGGGTATCGTCGTGGTACTAGGATGGGCTTAGTAACCTGACCTGTAGTACCAGGGTTGTAATGTAGCAGTCGGGGGCACAGCTACATGGGTGATAAGTGCGGGTAATATTGGGAACTCTGATGTTGTGATTGAGTGGGGCCTCAAAATTTCACAGGGTGTAGTCAGAGTTATTCTCTGGCTGATGAACTGCACCCTGGAGCTTTAAGAAGGTAAGATATTTTATAATTTTCATCATTGGTAGCCCAAAGAACCATTTACAAAATAATTATACATTTTGTAGCTTAAATGCTTTAATAACTTACCTGGTCCGTGGGTTAAAGTAACATTGCCAGGTGCATTATCCATAATTAGTAATGCATTCGTAGTTTATGTTTTTTTGGCAGAGTAATTGCTCAAGATTTGAAAAAATATGAATGAACGAGCTCAAGATTAATAAAGCCTTCACCCATACTTTACTGCTTGCTTGATAAATGACAGAAATTATACCCCATCAAAGATAATGGATTGATTCCCTGAATGGTATATCAGTAAGGGCTTGAGCTCTCACCATATTGCCACCCAGCATTACTGCTTGTTATTGCTACCTTCTCTTCGATATATATATATACTGTATATACATGTAGGTGTGTTCTTGGAGAGAATGTTGCAGTAATGTAGCTGAAAACAAGTAACCTATCGCACATACAAATTAAAATTTAAGTGACAATATTTCTATACATTCTGGAGTGTTTTGTAGTCATAACCAGTTATGACTTGGTAAAGCAGTTTCCTGGTGGTGTAGTGATAATATACTTGCCACATACTTCGGGAGAATTTGGTCCTGGTTAAAAGTCTTGGCCAGGGAGGATTTATTGGGTGCTAATCCGTAACTGGCACGAACCCAGCAGTAATTGGGTTCATGCTTGTTAACAGATTGGTGAATAATATTCCAGGGCAAATTAATGTGTAAGGCTTACCATGAACTATGGAAAGGGAAGATTCTCAGCCTGCTAACAAATCAGGTAACTGTTCCTGTACTTGAAATGTTGTCACTTTATTGTATTTGTGTGTGTGTGTGTGTGTGATGTTATATATTCTTAATGATGACATCTAACCTAATGCTACTTTATCAGCATTGCAAACTTGTTTGGGTCTGTAGGCATCTTTGATGATTTCTTTAAATCTGAGAGGTTATTGTTTGGCTTTTTCTTGCCTGCACTTGCAACTTAACCTGTCCTATATATTGTTTAGGTTGAATAATCCTTAAAGCACTTTAATCACCCATTGCTTGCTATGATATTTAACACAGATTTGGTGGAACCTCTTTTTATTTGCAATTCATAATTGTTGTAGGTGAGAGGGAGAAGTTTTTTTATCGTTGCTGTCTAAGAATTTGACTTGCAGAATTGTCTTCGTTGTTATTGGTTTTGCTTGGTGCTACCTAATTAATAATGCTTATTTTCAACCTTTTGGCCAAATTTAGACTATATTTGACCAATTTGTAAATAATATATATACAGTACTGCAAATTCATACGTACACTTGTCTCATCTGTTTCCCTCCTCCCTCTCTCTCTCTATCTAATAAGACTATGACCCACCACACCCACAACTACTTAATGTAACTACAACCACCACTAGAACACTTTAAATATATTTTATTGCTAGAGGGCTGGGGGGGCCCTAAATGTTGTGCTCCTATTCAAGAAAAGACATTTTAACTACACTTGATTTACCTTAACAAGGTACAGTGCTGGAGAAAATAAAAGCTAATCAAATATCTGGATAGGACAAATGTTTCTTGTGACTTTTCTGCCAACCTTCTCACACGAATTTTGTAAAGATGGGTCAACATTTGTGGATTAGCTACAATAGTTAACAGATTACATGCCATCAAATGACGCCCATCACTGAAATATGAAGTTAGTAAGGTTTCTGGCTATATAATGTATTGGCTATACAAAATATACTAATGGAGACTTAATGATGGTAAACTGCACCTTGCTGTCAATACTTGCTGCACTGTTTCTCTTATGGTCATTAATCATCTTAATAGAATGCCTTCATTTTCAGGATTGCGTATTGGCTATACATGCTTAACTCACAGCCACTTACTGGAGTGCCGCCCTGCTCCTTACTGTCCAAACTGCATTGTCCCTCTTATGGTCGTGCATATCCTTGTTGAATGTCCTGACTTCCAGGACGAACGTGTCTTGCTTCCTGACTGTCCCTCGCGGTCACTTGTCCCTCGATAGAATTCTTTGTGAATCAGATAATTTTGATATCGCTCGTTTTATGTGTTTCTTATATTGGCGTCCTTAATGATATTTAGCGCCCTCTGATTATTCCGCACATTTGATAGTGCTACATAGCCATCCCGGTTTGGTGCCTTCTTTTGATAATTACTTTTGTTTTTAAGAAATCATAATCCAGTAATTTGAGAGAAGAAAGGTTTTAAAAGGAACAAAGCGATTGAGCCCCAAAGCATGGAGCATTAAAAAACAAACAAGTGTTTTTTAATGCATGAAACAAAATTGTTTAAAATTTTCATACTCGAAGAACTTCATAAATTACAAATTTAAGTTTCTTTTGTGAACTATTAACCATTTCCTAATATGTGCTCAGGGATGGGGGGGGGGGGGGGATTGATACAGCTGTTTAGCTAACGGCATTTTTCATATTTTTCTTATAATGCTGATTTCTTTTCAGATTGGTTGCTGATATGGATGATATCAGTGGTGCTGTTCCATCGGCATGACAATCCCTTCAGCTGATTTTCATAGTTAAATTTAGCCAGTTTAGGTCTTAACAAAATTCTTTTAAATATTCAGGCAAGTTGATGTCTTCATGTTACATGACTCAAGACTAGAATTTGAAATTATATTTAAAATTATGCTAAAACAGAATTCAACTTCTAACAAAATTTAATTCCTCAATTAGTATTAAGGCATTGTTAATGTATTTGTATTATATGGAGATCGATATATTTTGTAACCGGTGCATATAAGAATATATTTTTTTTAAACTTTAAAGAAAACATTAAAAAAATGGCAAATATGCATTTCAGATTTTATTCAAGATTCCTAAATAACTTCAAGCAGATTGGTGAAACCACTTCCATTTGCAAAGTTTAAGAATGCTATACAATGTACCTATTTATTACATCGCAGCCTAGTAGGGTAAAACTGCTCTACAAATGTAGTAGCGGGAGCTGGAAACATTTACGGTGACGTTTATCATTTACCAAGTGCTAACATTATGGTATTAGTGTAAGAGGGGAAGACTAGAAGAGTGTGGAGGTTTGGAATCGAGTGTGATTGACGCTTACGATAGGGTAAATAATAATGCTGGGTTGAAGAGATCAGTGGCTTTATACAAAATACGTATAAATTAATTCATGCTATTGATGTTCTATGCAAATCCTTTAATACTATATTTGTTAAAAATATAATTTTTATAGCTAATGAGCCCTTTACACCTGGTTTTATTGATATAGTGTGGTGGTACAGTATTTTTTTTATCTGTGATGCTACATAGTGTATATGATAAAACAAATGGACAATGCATATTTTTTGTATTTTAATATCTATAACCTTTTGCTGGACAGCTCATCTGTTCACATTTTTTTCTCTGAAGCCCCCTTTAGACGAGGCCTGGTCAAGGACCGAGCCGCGGGGACATTGAACCCTGAAATCATCAAGATTTACCCCCATAAAATGTGAAATAGGTTAACGGTTATGAACAGATGAATAAATATGAATCAATACTAGTATTACAATAATATCATTCCCAAAAAGTAATTAATTTTGAAAACGCCTGGTGAATTGTTACAGTAAAAAACCACCATTTGGTATTATTGTTGTGGTCAAAGAATTGATCCATCATCAGGCTAGGGAAACATATTTCTCAATGTCACTCCCAGTGGTAATCACAGTAAACTGGATCATTTTAATTTTAACTATAGTCATAAATATGTTTTGGAGGAAGTACAACATTCGTGATACTGAAAAAATTGAATGCTTGAACACCGGGAAAAAAGTATTAAAATAAAAATCAAGACACATTGTATTTACAGTACAAGTTATTTAATTTTACATGGCTGCAAATGGTGCTGAATTATTTAATAGTAGTTTTGGTGCCTAGCCTTAGGTCAGAATGTTATCATTCCTTCCTTACCAGCAAGTCATCTTGAAGATCATTAAGTCGAACACACCTGCCAATGGTGGGTGCTTTCTTTTTGATGTATTGGAAGATTGTCACAATGATGATAACTGCTACGATGACAACTGCTACAATGATGATTATCGAAGTGTTTCTTGCTCTGTCTGGAAATGTGTGCTACTGATAATAATATAATTGTGTGTGTGTATATATATATATATATATATATATATATATATATATATATATATATATATATATATATATATATATATATATATATATATATATATATATATATATATATATATATATATATATATATATATATATATATATAATATATAATATTAGTATAAAATATAGAACAATAGGTGGTACCTCTTTGGTAGTGGTACACATATGCTTCTCGAGAAGCACATCAATAAACTGGAAAATGTACAGAAGAATACTAGAAAATGGCTGAAAAACAAGCTATGGAGAAGCTAAAGGCTTTAAATATGCCAAAACTAGAAGATAGAAGAAAGAGGCAACATGATCACTTGCAAAATAGCAGGAATCTACCCAATTGACAAGGAAGAATTCTTGAAATCAGCAAAACCTCAGGAACAAGAGGTCATAGATTCAAGCTAAGGAAACAAAGGTGGCAAAAGAATACTATAAAATTTTCTTTTTGGAAAACGGTGATAGATGGTTGGAGAAACATGGTAGTGCAGATGGGGACACTACAGACAGAGCTCTCATCCTATAACTACACCCACGAAGGTCCCAGGTTCATAATATGTAACATAAAGTAACAGGAAAATATAAAAATTGTATTTTAAATTAAAACTCGTGCTTTAAAAGTATATATTGTACTCACCAAGATCATCGCAAGTGCTAAGCTCGGCTACGATGTTTAGTGTTCCAAAATTACAGGTGTAGTTTTGGCATTCATGGGTCCATTGGTGTCCATCGGGGTAAATTTCACCAAGCATTGTGCAACCTGATAAGTAGTTATTAACATTTGCATCAAACCATATAAATTTACCAATACACAAGCTAGTACACCATTACAACTATTTTATGATTTCTTTACGTGTACATTTTCAGAAATGCCCAAGAGGAGAAATTTCAGTGGATTGATGAATTTGTAGATTTTATCAGGATATGATATACAGCATGTTCTGCCTTATAGTCTGAATGTACAGTATTGTAAAATTTGTCATTGTAGGGGAACAAGATGATTTTGCAATTTCGAAATTTAGCATGGATTACCCTTCACGGTTTTATGTATAGAACATCTAACGTCTTGCCCAAGAGCCAGAACTGCACTTCTTGGCCTAGTATTCAAGGGCCAATGTGCCTAACAGGCAGAATGATTTTAATTATTTTCAAATCTCTCTCCAAATTGGTTCTTTTCTAACAACAATAATCTATTATATTAAGAACATAAATTACTGACTTGAGTTATATTAGGTTAGGTTAAATTTAATCAAATTTCTATGTTTTGACTCATAATGATTGCAATTTTGTTAATTATTACAATAACTATCATTTCATAAGAAAATTTAAAAAAAAATACAGTAACAAATTCGGCTTCTTGGGCAACTCTGGCTGTTAGGTGTGTATATATATATAAATACGTGCGTAAATCATGAAAAATAAACACGTGATTAAAAATGTAAGTGTCAGACCACGGAGGAAGAATTGAAACAGGAATTTCCTTAAGTATTTTCGTATATTAATACATCTTCAGAAGGAATCAGTATATACATACGACACTGTCACATTTTTAATCACGTGTTTATTTTTCGTGATTTACACACGTGTATATAATATATATATTAAATTATAAAATTAAATTCGTTTCTAGAGACGGCTCGTAAACCAAAAATTCGAAACCCGAAACTAATTTTCCCCATACAAAATAATGTAAATTGAATTGATCTTTTCCACACTCCCAAAAATTAACTTCAAAATATATTGCATACATAATACACATAAATATTTTGTACTAAAGTGTGTACAAGTTATAGCTTACCGTTATTGATGACTCTGTTGGCGTATGGAAGATGGTGAGGAGGAGAGGTGTTAGTGTTTGGATAGGGAGACCCTTTCCATTATAACATCAGCCAGTGATGACTTCTCTGGTGTACTCTCTCTCCTACGTTTTGCCTGCATACCATTAGCACCTGGTTGTGGTTCACTGCTTGTTTTTCTTACTAAGAAACCTTACATAGACTTACTTCCCTAAGTTTTAACACTTGCCTGTAGGGAGTCATTAGTGTCATTAAAAAGACCAAGACAACGGCCTACTGCAGCTTCTGTTGGGCAAGTCATTTCAACTAAACTTTGCATTTCTTCATATACTGCACACCATTTCTTAATTGTTGAGGAATATATGGCGTGGTATGTAATAATTACCTTTGTTTAGAAAGCAAAAAAGCTGAAGACAATGAGATTCTTTACAATGAATTCAAGCGCGATCGTTACTTGTAAACTGAATTGTGATCACCTGTGCCACCAGGAACCATGCGCTTGGTCCGCTCCAAACGTGTATCAACAAGCTGTGGAAGCTCGCAATCCTATTCAAATTTTACAACGAAATTGAGCTCGTAACCCGAAAAATCGTAAAGAGGGGCATTTATAAGCCGAGGTTCTACTGTAAAATAGTGTGTGATTAATATATGTGTAATTATATATATATATATATATATATATATATATATATATATATATATGTCGTACCTAATAGCCAGAACTCACTTTTTGGCCTACTATTCAAGGCCCGATTTGCCTAATAAGCCAAGTTTTCCTGAATTAATATATTTTTTCTAATTTTTTTCTTATGAAATGATAAAGCTACCCATTTCATTATGTATGAGGTCAATTTTTTTTTACTGGAGTTAACAGTAACGTAGATATATGACCGAACCTAACCAACCCTACCTAACCTAACCTAACCTATCTTTATAGGTTAGGTTAGGTTAGGTAGCCGAAAACGTTAGGTTAGGTTAGGTTAGGTAGGTTAGGTAGTCGAAAAAAAATTAATTCATGAAAACTAGGCTTATTAGGCAAATCGGGCCTTGCATAGTAGGCTGAGAAGTGAGTTCTGGCTACTAGGTACGACATATATATATATATATATATATATATATATATATATTATAATATAAATAATAGTGGAACCTCTGTTCTTGTAGTTTTCGGTTCTTGTGGTAAATTTTTACGAGAAATTTGCCTCCGTGGTCGTAATTTGTTTATACACGCGCGTGGCTCTTCAGTTTTCCAGTGTCTCCCGCTTGGTGATGATCGTGCTTGGATTCTTTGTGAAGAATTTCATTGTTTTTGTGCCTTTTGGCTTCTGAACATAAAAGTTCTTATTATATATATCGTCATGGGTACCAAGAAAGTCAGTGGTAAAATTCAACTTTTAAAAAATAGTTGAGGATGACGATAGTGGAAAAACGAGATAATTTTTAGTGAAACAATGTGATGTCTCATTACAGACAAGTGTTAAAACGCAGGAAAAACCAAGTGTATAGACAGACTCTTAGTAAGACAAGCAGTGAGCAACAACCTGGTCCTAGTGGTATGCCTGCAGAACCTAAGAGAACCCCAGAGAAGTCATCACTGCTGTTATAATGGAAGGGGACTCTCCTAAACACTAACACCTCCCTCCCCCTCCCTGCTCAATGTCTTCCATATGCCAACAAGAGTCTTCCATAAAGGTAAGGTACGTAAGAGTATTATTCTGTATAAAATGTATTTTTTAGTTAATTTTTTTGGGGGAGTGTAATGGATTAATCCAATTGACATTATTTCTTATGGGAAAATTCGTTTCGGTTTTCATACCGTCTCTGGGAACGGATTAACTACGAAAACAAAGGTACTACTGTACTGTATTTCATTTATAGGACCAAAAAACTGTACAACATACATGTGTGTGTTACACCAACAACTTCTGGAAGACCACTTTTACACGTGTAATTATGGCAATCTATTGTCCAATTGTATTGATTAGGGTACACCTCACCGAGCACTTCACAACCTGTTGAAAAAGCAACATGATGGTGGTTTTTGTAAAGTTGAAGGATATAATTCATCTCAAGGTCCCAGATATTGTCGCATTAACAGAGATGAAACTTGAAAATATTTTAAATGAGGTCGTATTCCAAGGGGTTACTCAGTTTGGAGACTTGACAGAAAAACTAAAAAGGGGAGGAGTGACTGTAGGTGAAAGAATACCAGAAAGTACGAGTTAATAATTGAAAACCCCTCGAGATGTTGACATAATGGCATTGCAGATCTGGAATAAGGATGATCAGCTGATAATCGTAAATGCCTACAGCCCACCAGTAAGCAACACATAGACAAAGGAAGAACTGGATGACAAACGAGAGGGCCTCATAATGGTCATGAGAGAGATTATGGTAAGAGCAGACAAAGATAAATCCCGATTGTTAGTACTGGGGGACTTCAACTTTAAGACTGGGAGGCCTATGAGGCAAGAACGGAGGACATTTGGACAGGCAGATCTGTAAACCTCATTTTGAAGACATTCATGTATCAACACGTCAAGCAGGCCACAAGAATGAGGGAAGGGGATGTTCTGTCAGTACTTGGTCTAATATTCACCAGGAAAGAAGAATAGGTATTTGACATCCAGAACCTTCCTCCCTTGGGAAAGAGTGATCATGTCCTATTGGACATTAAATACCCTTTGCGATATAATTTAATAGAGAATGGGGACATTGAAACAGTTGATAAACTCGATTTCAAGAGAGGACGCAATGGGGAACTTAAAAGAATTGTTCATGGGGTATAATTAGACAGACTTGTTGCTAGGCAAGGAAGTAAATCTATGCCAAATTTTGCGAAATATACGATGAAGGCGCACAAACATTTATACCGAAACAGACATGCAGACCTAGGCAACAGGGTTGGTTCAACAAAAATTGCGAGAGGGCCAGAGATCAAAAGACTTATAGAAAGAGGCCAAACCCCCTCTTGGACAAAGGGGTCTTCCAGGTGTTGTTCTGGAAAAAGGCCAAACCCAGTGATACAAAGATGCGAGAAATAACTACATGACAGTAAGGAGAGAGGCAGAACGGAACTTTAAGAACGGTATAGCAGACATGTAAATCGGATCCAGGCCTGTTCTATAATTTCATTAAAAGCAAGCTGCAGGTACACTGTAAAGGATAATATTCAGAGGTTGAAAATGGGAGACAAGATTCACGGAAAATGAAAAGGAAATGCGTGAAACATTAAACGAAAAGTTCCAAAGTGTGTTTGTACAAAATGAAGTCTTCAGTGAACCAGACACAATAAGAATTCCAGAGAACAACATAGAGTATATAGAGGTGTCTAGAGACGAAGTGAAAAAAATGCTCTTGGAGCTAAGTAAGAACAAAGCAGTTGGCCCAGATGGAGTTTCACCATGGGTTCTGAGAGAATGTGAACCTGAGCTTAGCATTCCACTTCAGCTGATTTTTCAGACGTCCCTGTGTACAGGCGTCGGAGCAGATGTGTGGATAAAGGCTAACATAGTTTCAATTTACGAAAGTGGCAGCAAGGAAGACCCCCTCAATTATAGACCTGTATAATTGACAAGTGTAATAGTCAAAATATTGGAAAAATAATTAAAAACCAAATGGGTAGAACACCTGGAGAGAAACGATATAATATCAGACACAGTATGGTTTTCGATCCGGAAGATCCTGTATATCGAATTTACTCAGTTTCTATGATCGAGCCACAGAGATTTTACAGGAAAGAGATAATTGGGTTGACTGCATCTATCTGGAACTAAAACAGGCTTTCGACGGAGTTCCACATAAGAGGTTGTTCTGGAAACTGGAACATACTGGAGGGGTGACAGGTAAGCTTTTAACATGGATGAAAACATTTCTATCTGACAGAAAAATGAGGGCAGTAATCAGAGGCAATGTATAGGACTGGAGAAACGTCATTAGTGGAGTACCACAGGGTTCAGTTCTTGCACCGGTGATGTTCATTGTCTACATAAATGGATGGATGGATGGATAGAATATCTCCTTGTAAGTTGCTAAAATTTGTTTTGCAGTCTCGCCCTCCTGATCTCATCTGTATTATACATCACAAACGTAACATCTAGCTATACTGTATATCAAAGTAAATGAGTTCTGGATCTAGCAATAGATACTGGGTGACTATATTACCCACTACTGAACTGTGCCTTTTATTAGTATAGGTCTTGCATCTCCACACAAGGTACTCACATGTGTGTAATACATCAACAGCTTCTGGTAAGCCATATTTACAGATGTAGTTATGGCATCCTTCTGTCCACTTGTGTTGATCAGGGTACACTTCACCAAGCACATTACAACCTGTTGATAAATGGGATATAGCAGTAAAAAAGCCATGTACTGTATAGTGTTATACAAATAAATTTATATAGTTAATTTTTTTAAATGTGCATGACTGTCAACTGGGCAGTTAGATGTTATTCCTTCCCCTTCCCGCTGGTGTGTACATGCATGCCTTTGAATTCATTAGTGAATCTGGATTCAAATTTATGGATGGAGGTGGCTTCCATAACTTTCCAGTGAATTTCATTTGTTGACCAAAAGTACAGAGGACAAGCATTTCCTTATGTTTCTTTGGTTAATTTGTGATGGCAGCCCCAACCTCTGTACTCTTGCCGGACTCCTGTAAACAGGAGTACTCTTGTACTCCTGTAAACATGTCTGACTTTATTTTTAACATTTAAGCAGTGGGGTCTTGCATCTTTATAAATTTTATAACAATTTCAGATGTGAAAGATGTCGATAGTTTGTATTTTTTATTATTTCAAGTTAAATGAAAAGGCAGATATGTATAGGTATTGTAGGTTATTCCATTGATTCGAGATGTGAATAATGGTAGATCGGATTGTGAAAATTAGTTGTCACGTCGTCATTTCTCAATTCTCTGATGTGCGGTTTGGTCAACATATATCTTCAGCCACATTCCTTTTTTATTGTAAAGTCTTGAACCCACGTGGTGAAGGCTTGTATCCCTCCTACGTAATGAAATGCCTTTTTCTTGAACATTTTTCCTCTCGCATTCCATTACACTGTTCACAGATGGGTTAAGTCTGCTGAGGTGTTGCAGACTTAACCCATCCGTTGTTTTTCCAGACCAGATCTGTATGTGCTGCTTACACCAAGAGAATAGCATCTTCACGACGGAACTTTATGCAATTTTTCTATGCTCATCGTCAACTGCTTTTCCTATGTTAACATTCCTTTGTCAGTCTGATAAATTCGCTGTGCAATCTTGGCTCTAGAATTTGCATTCTCTGGTGGTCGAAATCCAATGCTGGTTGCTTCTTATCTCTAGCAGATTTAAGACAGTCGAATCTTGGTGGGTCCACAGTCATATTGGTGTTATCCTGTACCTCAAATGAACGTGTGATACCGCTGCTAAGGTCATTTGCTCTTGTCCTATTCCCAAAAAAGGGATTCCTTATTTGGATTTCCACAAAGTCATTCATTCTACAATCCGTAACCATTGGTCTGGCATTAATATATGTATATAAGAATGTGAATTCAGTATTCCATTTTCCGAGACATTTTAACGTCAAAATTCCCACTGTACAAAATATGGCGTACTATAAGTCATAGAAGATCACAAACACACACACACATAGAAAACGTGAGTCCGTCGGTTATGTTAGGTTAAGACAATTTAGTGCATTTTTGTGACAACTGTAGAGGACGGGCTGGATTGGGAGAGAACAAATCAGAAGGGTGGGAGCTGGCTCAGGCTGCAGCAGGCGCTGTAAAACGATTAATGTGAGTTCATTATTAAGTTATCTGAGATAGACGGGGGAGGATCAGAAGAAATATTTGGGGGGAAAGCATCAGGAAGAATTTTTGGGATGAAGGGAATGGTCCCGGGCAAAGCTGGGAACCCCACTTTGTATGACATAATAGCAAGTATAAATGTTAGCATCGTAATTAGACCCAACTATTAGGTGTCTTGCAATGTTTTTCTAACATCACACTGAGCAAAATATCTAATCTGTATAAAGTGGATTATCTTGTAATACAAAACAGTTTCAAGATAATTTAATTTGCTCCTTTTTATTATAATTAATTTTTTGCCTCTTTTACTGCAATAAACAAATGATAGATAATTATCAGCAGAAATTACTTAAGTGAGTATGACCATAGTCCTTGGAAGAATATGAGGATGGAGTGAAAGAACAGTGCACAACCACTTGGACCATCGGGTATTGAATACTGACCTCGCAGGTAAGGCAGTCACTTTACAGACTAGTCAATAGACAATAAATTATGAAAGATACTCACATGAGTCCAGTGTACTAATAGCTTTTGATGAGCCATTATTACAGATGTAGTTGTGGCATCCTTGTGTCCAGCTGTAGCCATCAGGATACGCCTTGTCAAGCTCCACACAACCTGTTCAAAGTTCCGTAATGATGGTGTGAATGAAAGGAGTACCGATGTCCATAAACATGTCTGCTATATTTACTCGTCTATGTCAATAGTGGCTCCGTTGGGTAATTAAAGCTTATGACTTCCAGAAACATCCAAACATTTAATGGCTTCCGGGGAAGACTATAACAAGATTTGGTATGGCAAGTTGTAAAAATACTTTGTATGATCAATGCTTCCCAATACCTCAAATTTATATATATTTTCCATGCTTTCCCCGAATTCCAACCCTCGCTTAACATCCTTATAGACAAACGGCTTAGAATTTACATATGAATGGCAACGGAATAAAATCGCTGAATTTTACTGTGACACTTCTTCGCTGTTAATGGACATAATAAAGTACCTCTATCAATTTAAAAATGCGTATAAGCGTGTTTACAGCCTAATGGTTAAGAAGCTAGACGTGTTTACTTCACGGTTCGTATAGACCCCTTCGCAGCAGCCTGTTCTCACGAGCGTCGGTCACGTAATTGTGGTGTATGTAAACATTGCGACAATGGGGGGTTAAGTGCTGGTGCTTTAATAAGCAATGGTGGATATAAATCCTGTCCGTCCTCCATACAAAGACTCAAAAGTGATTCCATGCACCCGCCAAACTCCGTTTATGAATGAAAAACGGTTCACACACGACTCGCAACTGATGACGTTCGAACACTTCCGGAACAAGTGCTTCACTGACGAATTTTGTTCGAACCACAACACTGTAATCTTCACCCACGTACTACAAATACAAATAATCGCCAACAGAACCTAAACACCTAACCTAACTAACGCCTAAATATGCACAATATGCTAATATATAATATTAATTTATATTTGAGAAAATTGTTATATAAATTATAGTGTCTAAATATGTAGTTAAAACCATTATTTAAAAATTAAATTGCATAATCATAGTGTTATAATTATGTGAAACATGAGGGGCAAGATACTCACAGGACTCTACCACATCAACAATAAAGACGGCGCCAGCATTGCAGTTATAGACGCGGCAATCTTTAGTCCATGAGTGTCCATCAGGGGACACCGTCCCAAATGCTTCACAACCTAGGTAAAAACGGCCAAAATTAAAGCTCCTACCACTTCTACCATCATCATCTCAACAGCAGCGTTAGCAGACGTGCTGTCTACAAATGCTAACAGCACCACCAACGCTCCTGAAATAGCTTCTACCACTAATCCACGACACCTGAGCCTACCTCAGGCTGCAACACGAATTACAAAATCAACTACGGATGTTACGGACTCCTCAGACGAGGATATCTTAGCAGGAGCTCCACCGCTGCAGCACAAATTCGATACCTACTCGGTACAAGACCTTCTGAAGATGTATTATTATATACGAAAGTACTTAAGGAAATTCCTGTTTCAATTCTTCCCCCGTGGTCTGACACTCACATTTTTCATCACGTGTTAACTTTCGTGATTTACACACACACACACACATACACACACACACACACACACACACACACATATATATATATATATATATATATATATATATATATATATATATATATATATATATATATATATATATATATATATATATATATATATATATGATCACAAAAGCACTGATCCAAGTATGCGGAAAAACCGCATGTGAAAAATAGAGAATGCTTAACGCGTTTTCGGCTAATTCGCCTTCATCAGAGCAAAGTAGAATGAAGCTACTTTGCTCAGATGAAGGCGAGTTAGCCGAAAACGCGTTAAGCATTCTCTATTTTTCACGTGTGGTTTTTCCGCATATATATATATATGTACAAGTGTCCAGCACAGCAAGGATCTTGAGTGAGCCGGAGTTACAAGTGAAGTTGTTGCAGCCAAGAGTCCAGTTGTGTTGGTCGGGGAAGACCTCGTCGAACACTTCACAACCTGGCAAACATTAAACAACCATATTAGTCTTAATAATAATCGTGATAATTCAGGTGCACAAAATATGAATTTCATATAAATTTATCATTTAGAAATAAGTAAGCCTAAGTATTTATCTTTTAAATTTGTTAAGGTTCTTTTGCTATATTACAATAATGACATTTTTACTTAATTCAAGGGAAAATGAGAGGAATACTAAGGGGGTATGGGATGCAAAAATACACACAAATATATCCCTTATTTTATCTTTTCTGTCGAGATAATGTATTACTACATTATCGCACCGCTGGGGGGCGCACCGCTCATACTGATACTGATCTCATAATCATACTGATTCTGCTACTTCCTAGCATTAAAAATCATTTCAGAGGGACTTTAAATAATTGTATACTTATAAACCACCCTTTACATATACCGTGTAATTAAATATATATTTTATGCTGCTCCTATTTTGTAAGAGTTATGTAACTGAAGCAAACATACAAATGCTGAATTAACTAAATTCTGAACATGACATTGAAGAGAAACTAGTGTGAACAAATGGAGATTATAATCAAAGTTTACAATATGAGGTAAGCATTAAATAATAACATTGACTTGAGGCATTAAACAAGAGACCTACATGAATCCAGAACAGCGAGACGTTCTGGTACTCCAGAATTGCAAGTATAATTATGGCAATCATGGGACCAGGAGTATCCATGAGGATACACTTCATCGAGCACCTCACAACCTGTTGAAATAATTAGTTAAATTAAATATAACGGTTGGCACGGAGAGTCAAGACAATAGAGAAAATGTACGGTGATCGTAATGCAGCAGTTGCAACGTCAGGATCTGCAGGATGGTGTAAGAATTCCACCATCTATGAACCACACATCATCCAGTATTACCAAGTGTGACCAAAACATCACCGATCATTTTCAATTGTGACCAACCATCCAGTACGGACAGAATAAAACATCCACTAGACAGTGTGACATTGTATTTATATTTGTTAGAATTAGGCTTGGGTATCGATACTTACAGCAGGTGGCTGCACGTGAAGAATCTCCTAATAATGAGCACTTTCATTGTGTTATTATGTGAACAAGAGTTAGAACTCTCTCCGTCACTATATAGTGACGGAGAGAGTTCTTACCTCTTACCAATGATTTCAGACCAAATGGCACGATATACTTTTAGCTCTGTAACTACATATTCTCACGAATATTGGAAGACATTCTTGTGCTCTAACCAGAGCTTGTCAGTGCCTGCTTGTGGACTAGACTTGCATCTCATATTTTCTTCCGGTTCCATGTATGACTAACCTGTGAGATGGGGATATTAGATGAACTCGACAATAGCTAGTCCTTGATCTTTACCCTGTAATTCCTCATACAAAACAGGGTAACAGCACATTGCTGTGTACATACACCTAAGTGTGTAAATAAAAATAAATAAAAGACATCCAACAGTCTCAAATTTGACCAAAACATCACCCAATATTTCCATATGTGATCAAATGCAACAATTATGTTATAATTTTAAACATTAGTTCTTAACATTAAAACTTAATACAATATTACCTTCGTACAATATGTATGTGAAAATTGTTCTTGCAATAAATACTGTGAGATATTGTTACTAACACGAATCTATGACAACAGTCTTGACAGAGCCAGATTCACACCAGTAGCGATGGCATCCTTGAGTCCATGTTGACTTGTCAGGATAGAACTCAAGTAATATCTTGCAACCTGAGAATATTAAACGAAACATTAGTTGTATCCTACACTCCTTCCGGTCTTGTCATGTAGCCTAATATTTTCATTCCTTAAAAATAAAACTGTATTTCTTTCAGTTGCTGTATAATCCTTTGTAAATGAATAGGTTGCTACTATGAGACACAATATACATATCCACGGCGTGATTAAGTCGAAACTAAATACCACAATATATTCGATAATTATTGTTACAAATAATTCTGATAATATTTGTTAAATTGCCTGAAATGTTGACTGATCTCAGCTCCACAACATTTACATTTGTCATGGTTCGTTTATACATTACTAAACAATACTTCTACATGGATTCTTGTATCTTTACCGGAACACGTACTCTTGCTAGAGGCGACATTCAGCATATGTTTTCTTTGATGTATTATCAATTTTTAAATGTTTAGAACAAGAGGAGATGCACCGGAAATATTTGTTTACATTTGAAAGCAACCTAAGAGGAAGTGATTGTGGACAACAGCAAACTGAGCCCAGCCTGTTCTGTAAAGATATTAAAATTAGGTTGTATGTGAATGTAAAAATAAGTTAGACATTAAGAATGGATAACATTCATGGTGGCAAAAGAAAATGTGTGAAAGTAAGTGAACAGCTTCAAAGTGTGCTCTTACAAAGCGAGGAAACATGACATCGGTGGATTAGTAGTTATGAAGCTGCTACCCATGCTGGAGTTAGAGCTCATTCCCTGCCAAAACAAGGAAGTTAGTTGAGTCTACAGACATACGCACTCACACATGGGCAGTAGGCCCTGGATCTGTACTGAGCCATTATTGCAGATGTGTTCATGACAATCATGCGCCCATTGCTCTCCGTTACTGTACACCGCGTCACCCACTTGACACCCTGGAAAGATAAAATATATTAGTGTTAAATGAGACGTTGTCTTCGTAAATATACATAACTAGGCCTCATAAATGGATTACAGAACACGTGTCACCCGCTTCAATTGCAATGACTCCATATAGTAATTTTGGAACTATTGTTGACATTCATGTATATGTGAACTTGGGAATGTATCTTACAGCCACATGAAAGCATCACTCACCATTAATGAAGCTGTTGTTGTGTATGGCATCTCTCAACAATGCCATTATGTCATAGTAGTTCTGCCATATTGCCAAGTCCAGTGGTGTTTGCCCTATGTGAGGAGGAACACTTAGTTGTCTGCTTACTTGCCGACCCATGACCAGTCATGGTAAATGCAGTATTAACCTGATACATATACTGGTGTATTGATAAATATAATAATAATAATAAGAAACCGAAAAAAGGCTTGTTGGCCCATGTGAAACAACTACTATATCCACCACAGCCAATCATATATTTGATTAACCTCCGATTTAAAAAAGTCCAGTGACTCCCACCGCGTGTATTATGTCACTAGTCAACGTGTTCCATAGACTAACAATCCCTATTCCAAATCAGATTTCTCTGAGCAAAATTATGCAATTTATATTGATTGTTTCATATTTCTATAGAATGTAAATTAGGTTATATAATCTCTCTTCATGTGGGAGGTTACAGTGTAATTAGTAGTAGTTATACCTACAGGCACAAATAGGTAAGCACACTCACACACACACACACACACACACACACACACACACACACACACACACACACACACACACACACACACACACACACACACACACACAACAGAAGGCTGTAAGTTACTTACTGTCTTTGTCTGTGGCATTAATGTTGGCATTGTATTTCAGGAAAAGCTTAGCGATATTCAGCTGCCCGTGTCGCGATGCACAGTGTAATCCCGTCCTCTCTGGGGAAGATTATGTACCAAGGGTTTTGAAACTTAAGTCCCGGGGTAACCCATGTTCTGGCTGGGTTTCCACGGGGCTCTGGCGGAATCCCGATCATTCCGGGGTTCCTTTGGGGGTCTTGTGTGGAACCCGGGACCTTTCTGGAGTTCCGTGGGGCAGGAACGATACATTTACGATATATATATATATATATATATATATATATATATATATATATATATATATATATATATATATATATATATATATATATATATATATATATATTATGTATATATATATATTATATAATATATGTATAATACTGTTTGAGTTTCAGGGACATCATACCAATAAATAGGACACCTTGAGAGAAAACTTAAAAAAAAAAACCATGTGTGAGAGGTCCTATTAACAGAGATCGAAGATTCGTAGATAATAAAGGTTGTATTATATTGTGGCAGCTAGTTACTGCACTCCACTGTAAAGGTAGAGGCTGGCGTCCATAGATACCAACAGCAAGCGACCATTTGATCGGAATAGGCTGCGTTTTATGGAAAATTATCAAAACATATAAGACGCGAATTTGAAATGAAAATTACTTTTCTAATCTAGTTTTAGATGTAAACACGTTCTGTATTACTGAATGATTTAATTTGGTAATTAAGCTGCTCAATTTGTTTACTACTCGTTTAATGAAAAAGTACGTCATTGAAAAAAGATCCATTGTAATGCTAATATTAATAAAAATAGATATGAAAAAGGATCTAAAGTACTGAAAAGTATATGTGACGGGCAGTGGAGGCCAGACATGGTACTCACGGATATGGTCCCGGGTATCTACATCCATGCCTGCAGCTAGCATGTCTGATATTGCTTGTAGATTTCCTTCCCTAACTGCATTGCATACGTCATCTATGTGTTCTGACGCTCCTGATGGTTACAAAGATTATAATGTAATGTAAGTCACCGGTATATAAGAATTAATTAAGTAAACTACATTCCAATTTGCCCTCTTGAATAGTACATCGCATTTTGACGTATAAATCCCCTAAGGCCAAAATTGATGTACTAAAAATATTAGCGGCTCGCAAAATTTTATTTCTATTCGTGGGTCCTTGGTTAGGTTTGGTTCGGGTAATTTTGCACACCATTTAGTGACGTTGTGAACTTTCAAAAGCACTGGCTGTAGATCCTAGTTAAATCTACATAAATTCATTCATACATGTGCAGGCGATGAGTCACAATAACGTGGCTGAAGTATGTTGACCAGACCACACACTAGAAGGTGAAGGGACGACGACGTTTCGGTCCGTCCTGGACCATTCTCAAGTCTATTGTGACTTGAGAATGGCCCAGGACGGACCACAAATCTGAGAATAAAGAATTGACGTTTCGGTCTCTACTAATCAAGACTCCCAGATTTCTTTAGCATTCAAACTTCGCACTTTAAATTTCAAGATGATATATGGTGACGTTCTCATTACCTAGACTCAGAACTCTACATTTTTTCAGCAATAAACTACATCTGTCAATCTTTCCTCTATTTAAAAACTATATCTAGATCGTCTTGACGCAATTTGAGTCTTCTGAACTTGTTTCTCGCCTGTTTTCGTATCCACAAAATTTTAAATATTGTTTCTCGATATGGTATCTAAATCGTTTATTTATGGTAAACAACAGAGGTCCCAGAACAGAGCCTGTACTCCACTTACAGCGGTTTCTGATCCACCTTAACTCATTTATAGTAACCCGTTGTTTCCTTTGAAATAACCATCGCAATTTAGGATTGCTTTTCCAATACTATAAGCCTCTATCTTTCTAATCAGTCTTTCGTGAAGCACAGTATCACAAAATTTGCTAAGGTACTCAACGGCACAATCCTCTCTGCTCTCTACTGCTACAAAATTATTAGAAAAGATTTATATATGAATGAGATTGAGTGGATATAAATAGCTGCCTCGTATGGGCAGAATTGACCTTCTGCAGTTACCTTCATTCTTATGTTCTAATGTAAGCAAATTCTTGAAACACCAGCGCCCCTTTGCAAAGCCATGTTGTGAATCATTTATTAAATTGTTTCTCATGATGTAAACAAATGCTTTCTGCTATTATCAATTAAAACAATTTTCCCACTATTGACTTTAAGCTAATTGGCCGATAATTTGACGCAAGTGATCTGTTTCCTTCTTAAAGATTGGCACAGCATGTGCAGTCCTTCTATACAAAGATTTATAGCACAACATGTGCCTCATGTGCGTGCTATAAATCTTTGTATAAAAGGTTTATAATTCTTGAGATAAACTGTCATCATCCTCTGTACCCGTCGAAGTGACTATTATGTCCATTCTATAGTATAGTGAACAAAACTGAACTACATGATCTAAGTGGAGCCTAACAAAGGCAAAATGAAAATGATGACAAATATTATATGTTTTAATTGTTGCTAACGCTTCTAGAAATGAATCCCAGACTCCCATTTGCTTTAATCCGTACATTTATGCATCGATTTTTTTGGTTTCAAGATCCCTATGTAACTAATCATGATTCTTTGATCTTTCTTGCATTTCGACTTTGCAAATTCTACATTGTCTAGCTGAGCTCAACACCTCTGAATTAATTCACAGAATCTGCCAATCTTTCGTCCATTTTGAAAGCCTATCTATAGATCTTGTAGCGATTTTGTCTTTGAATGTTTACCCGCTCTATTTTTGCATCCTTTATGTTATCCCTTTCCTGTCTATTATTTTTCAAATTTATACAAGATGAGCCGGCAACTTTGCCATTGTAGTGATTTGTTAAAAAAATAATAAGGATTAGGATGGTGGATAACTGTACCACACATACCTGCTTGACGCATGAAGACGAAGGAAGTGAATATCAGCAACCACAACAGCAGGGCTGTAGCCGCCATGATGGAGCAGTGGCAGCAGCAGCAGCAGCAGCAGCAGTAGCAGCAGCAGCAGCAGTAGCAGTAGCAGCAGCAGCAGCAGCAGCAGCAGCAGCAGCAGCAGCACCGCCACCAGCAGCAGCAGCACCGCCACCACCACCACCAGCAGCAGCAGCAGGAGGGTAAGGCTCACCACAAAGTATCTTCACCGCTGATATCTGGCCACCTCCAGCACTCCAACATGGAACTGCTGTCGACGGAGTACCGGAATGCTTCCTGACCAGTCACATCTACAGTTTATCAAACGTAGCTTAACCACAGCAGTGTCAATATGTTATGTAATCACCAAACCTTCTAGAAAGAAGAGTAATACGTACAAATTATTCGCACAAATGAGACAGCGTGTTCACCAGGCTGCGACAGGACGCACTATTCAGTAATTCATGTTCACTATTCAATGATTCACTAATAGATATTACAAACCAGCTTCATCGTTATTGCAAATCAAACACGTCTTCCAACTCTCCGAGATTTGTATCCATGTTCATCCCCAAGTTCGGACTACTGACCTCCAGGAAGCAACTCTCACAACTGTTATCTATCTTCTGGGTACCTAGTTATGCTAGATGAACAGATCATTAGGTGAAAGGAAATGTGCATACCCATTTCTGGGCCCCACGGGATTCGAACCCAAGATCCCCCGATTTTGAGTATAGAACGTTGTAACTGCCTTAGTTTAATGTCTAAGCAACACGAATACTGACTTATTGTATATTATAATTTATTTACCTGTAAGAAGTAATGAACAATTAACACAACAATCCTCTTATAAGTTGCCCAAGTTCCACGAAACCCTTATGAATGTCTCAGGCTGCCGAGTAATTGCAGAATTATCGCTTTGCTAATTCGAAATTCCGTAAGCTTACAGAATTGTGGCTGCTAAATATTTTTGTTTTTAATCTGATTTGATATTAAATAATTTTAGTAATGTGTTTCACATAAACAGTCACACAGTTACGAAACAGAGGCGAGTTCCCGTTGCACTCGTGTCAGGCTGTCTAAATCTGATAGTTGCTATTTCTTGCACTTAACGACACTGTAACAATTTACCACCAAAACAACTACAATAACGCAGGTCATACCTAATATCCTCTACAGCAGCGTCGTATTGTCTACCGAGTGACTACAGCTTTACTGGGTTGCGTCCTTAACCAGGGAGGCAGAGCGGCAAGTTCATAGTGACGCAATGCTCAGATTCACTAGTTCAGTACATACACACCACAGAAGCACTTTATCAGACAACATGTACTCTTAACAGCGACACTCTATAGGACGAAAAGAGATAACTGAAGGGGGAGAACTGTGGCGTTCAGAAAGGTTCCATTTTTGGGCCAACCCTTTTTATTAAATACATTACATCAGTGACATAGATAAGAATCTTGCAAACCACATCATAAAATTTGCAGATGATACTAAGATCTATGTGATAAAATAGGAAGTGACAATGATATTGAAGCCTTACAAAGAGATCTTGTACAGGAACTGCACAAATGTCGGAAGACTGGCAAATGCTTTTTAATATCGAAAATACAAGACCATGCATGTGGGACTTTACCATCCTCATCACAACTACCAAATCAACATTATCGTGCAGCAGATCGACAAAGTTACACAACAAGTAGGAGCTGCAGTAAAAAAATAATCCAACCACATCCAAGGGATAGTCAAACGAAACTGACTTCAATGAAAAGAAGGTGGTTACAGAGAAATAGTGACAGAGATAGATATAGAGATATATCTATCTCTGTCAGTATTTAGATAGTGACAGAGATAGGAATAGGTCAGAACTTTACTTTGGGGAAAAGGTAATCCATATTGTTGGAAAAAATAAGCGGTACCAAGTTTCACTTTAAACAAACGAAGAAAGGAACTTTTAAAGGGAGGGTGGAAGATTGCCACTAAGGCCAAACCAATGTAGTTTGGATAAATTATTGTTAATGCAGGCAGTGTCATAATACTTTATCAGATCAAAGAATGGCAACAATAGAGGTATTTGCAGCAAAGGCAGTATAAATGTGGACCAAGACCAAGGTATCAGTTGTGCTGCATCACTTGTGAAAGTGAAATCCAGAGGGAGGCGAAGTAGTGATGAACCTCACAAGATATACATTAACCATATGTTCAAAAAGTTTGAAGACAACTTATCAGAGAAATGGTAAAAATCCTTAGGGGGAAGTCCCTCAACAAATACTGGATTGCCAAATGGGAAGAACAATTGCCTCAAGCCAGTTCTCTGTGACAGATGCCTCCCAACTGTAGTTATAACTATTTAGCAAATACTAAAAGGCACACTGAGGGAGGGGGCGAAATATCTTGAATGCTGTCTTAGCTTGCCGCTGTAAAACTGCAGAGGGACAAGGCAGACTGGAGTTCAGAAAGTGAAAAGATTGTTATTTGGGAGTAGGAGGGTGAAAGTCCAAAAGACGAGATTCAATAAGCAGCTTACAGTAAGGAAACCAAACACAATAATTATCAAGAGAAGGCATCAAGCTGAAAAGATTTTGTACATAGCTGCAGGCAATTAATAATTTAAAGAAGTTGTGATACAAACCAGGTACAGTTTACTGACAAGCTAGACAATCATTTCATTCAGCAGTTCTAGTATACCTAAATAGCTGTCATTTTTTGCTGACCCAATCTGATTTTCTCCACAAAATGGCAAACCTCTAACACTATGCCTATGTTCCTCCTCTGAGCAATGTTAGTCAAGTAAGAATTTACACTTCGTTTCTTTATGCCTTATTAAATGTGCTGTCATGCACTTTCAATGTTCTAATTTTCATGTTGTAATAACATTGTTGTGCTTCCAGTCATTGAACTCCAATGTAGCAAAGGGAGAGTCTTCCTTGGACAATAGGAGACATACAAAGCAGTACAAACTACCTTGGGATGGCAAATAGAGTAGCCATTCACGTTTCACATACTCGCCATTACACAGCTCTCGTTTGAAAGAATTTATCAAATACAGTACCTTGTCTTCGTATCCTCTACTCTAGCCGTTTAATCCACTGGAAAAGTTTGAAAGGTTACTACCATGATTGATATGCAAACACCTTGACTGTTACATATTTGAGGATTTTCTTTTGTAAAATGTCACCAGCAGCAACAACAGACAATGATATGTCTGCTGAAACTTGACGATTGATAGCAGGAATGCATGTAGATGTGGGTGCTGTATCTGAAGGAATGGTATGAATGCCTGTTGTTGCACCTGTGTTGAGCCATTATGTTAATTTTGAAGGTTTTCCTATCGTCTCCTCTGCTCCACTCAAAACATAAGTTTCATTTCTGCTGAAAGGATTATTCACATGGAAATAAACATCTTGACTATTTAGTCCCACACCAGGATGTTGGGTTATATTATACAAGCATAGTTGCAACAAGACTTAATTATTTAAACATTCCGATTCCACAATGAGCTTTTTCTATGCTCGTGGGGCACCCAGGCAAGTGCCCATTGGGTCCATGGGGCAAGACAGCTCTGGGATTGGAAGGATTACACTTTCCTCCATATATGACAGGTAGACACAGGGTGCCTGACAGCAGAGTGGACAGCACTTCAGATTCGTAGTCCCGAGGTTCCAGGTTCGATTCCCGGTGGAGGCAGAGATAAATTGGCAAAAAGTTTCGTTCACCCTGATGCTCCTGTTACCTAGCAGTAAATAGGTACCAGGGAGTTAGACAGCTGCTACAGGCTGCTTCCTGGGGATGTGTAACAAAAAGGAGGTCTGGTCAAGGACCGGGCCACAGGGACCCTAAGCCCCGATATCATCTCAAGATAGCATTACATTAGGTAGGAGGAACCCAAATCTTTAACTTTCATTCTTATCACCAAAGTACCCTTTGGTGCTTTTGTAGAGATAAGGGGGGAGGGGGGAAAGTGTGATCATATAGGGTGCATGAAAGACCAAATCTACTATTGACATTTTTATTCAAAACACAGAAAGAAGTGAATACAGTATAAATTACAAGTTTCTATTATTCTAATGAATAGATTAGACTAAACTTTGCACATTACAGAATTACCAGTTACAAATGCCAAACAATTCTCAATTACATTAAAATGAGCACGTAAAAACAATACATTAACATGTCCTGACAGTTTAAAAAAAAAAAAAAATAATTACAAGAACATTCCTTTTAAAAATCAAACTATTTCAAATGCCTCTTTCCAGTTAGGTAAAGAATATAAGCTGGACATTAATACCATCGAGCTGCCAATAAAGGTGAAAAAGCAAATATCCACTCGACTGCAGTTATTAATGCCATTCTATATTAACACCTTGCCAGTGGCACATCCATGGGATGCTGGCTTCATTCTGGTGTCTGAAGTTTGCATAGCAAAGTTTTGCAATTCTACATAAAGTCATGATCATAAGTAAACATCTTAGTTTATGGACATTTCATAGACGACTTATTAAGTTAACCAATTTATCTGCACACAACTTTAAAATTCCCATGATAAATCAAGCTATTTAAATAATTAAATGCAGAAGTTTAAATTGAAGTTGCTATATTTACAAAAAATCTTTCTACAACACCAGGCTTCATGAATAATCAAATCTACAATCATTTTTATACACACACACACACGCACACATTTGTAGGTTGTAAAATAGTCAAACACGAAGCAATAGCCATTTTGTCAATTTTTTTTAAAGATTGCCCAAGTCCTCGATTTTCAATAAAGAATCTACAATTAGACCAATGTCCCAAGGTATTTCAATCCAGATAAACTATTCTATTCACATTCAACTATGGGGCAGGAAAACCAAAATAAAGTTTTCTACATGGAGCCAATACAAGAATTAACACAGTATGTTTAATTTGTCAGTTATATTCGGTTCAGATTTATAACAAAGGTTTTATTTAAATACCTAATGCAAGGCATTCCATGTCTTCAGTAGGTTTTAGGCACAATGCAATTTTGAATAAATTTACTTTATTTTCTTATTGCATTTAAGCAAATTATTGAATTTTGTAATCCTTAGTTTAAAATAATTATGAAATGGTTTTCGTGCCTATTAATCAAATAAATTAATAACTTTCAATTAAAAAAATTGAAATTTTCAGGAAAAAAAAATTCAATTTAAGAAAGCTACCATTTTACAGCCCTGAACTATCAAGTCTTGTGCAAGATTATTCTCCATTTTGAACTAGAGAAAAAAAGTATAGGCCTTTTGTAAAATTCTAAAAAGAATAAAATTCTATTTGGAGCAAGACAAAAATAAAAGTACCCAACAGTAAGTGGCTCAATTATTCACACAAAATCTTCATTACCTATGGCACCAAGTAACGGCAAATCTGTCAAGATATTTTTAACCGTACAAAATATTTGAACATCATTATATGTCTTTGCAAGGCTAAAAGTCTGGCAGCTAAAATGTCAATAAAAGTACAACATGTACCATTAACATCAAATTGCCAAAGGTCAATAAACTAAAAATATTTGTATCCAAGTTATCAAAATTAATTCTTTGGCTTAAATGAACCAAGATAATATTTCGGTGTGCTATATGAACTACATGTAACTTTGTTAAAGCTAGTTAATAATAGCAAACGCATTAAGGTGCGCTATATATTATATATACAGACTTTCCTTTCTCTTATTATGGCCATTAGAATTTGTCCAGAAAATTATAATTATAAATTTACTTAAATTGAAGTCTCAAAAATGTGTAGTTTAATCTAGACAAATTGTTTAAATTAAGCTTGCAACCATCACACAGTACGATTAACCTTAAGGTATATCTGGCACCCCATGACCTTCAGCTTTGGTGGCAGTCTAATAAAATAAGTTTTCCAAAGTTAAAACCATCAAGTAAATTTAGATGCAGTTCCCTTTTTCCAGAGTGAATGCAGCCGTGACTTATCATCAAACAAACTCCTCAATAATATTACCTGAAGAGAAAAGATGAAAATTACTTTTACACTTATAGTACAGTAGTTTTAAGTACACTAGTTCCTTAACGTCAATGACATAAGAGCTTAAAACTTAAAGAACCGAATTTGTAACATGTGCAACTCAAAGTGCTCTTTTAAAGTTACTACCATGCAACAATATTTTTAAAGTGACTAACCAATACAAATGCAATTAAACCTAGTCTCACCTGAACAATTCCAGTAACCATCATCACTGATATGTTTATTAGGGACCAAGTGTTTACTTTGCTGTAGTTACTTTCTGCAATATTTCTATCACGCGCTTCATATGCCCGGAGTTGATCTTGCATGAACCTTGACTTCGTAAGGTGACCACGAATCCTGTCCATTGCAACCTGAATCCAGGAAAAGTTTAAAATGCAATAAACTTCACAAAATTCATTGGAGTCTTGTATAAAATTACTATATATCCACACATACAGTACAGTACCTTTAAACATTACTAAGCCAAGATTTCAGTTCCCAAACTATATAGTCAAGATGAAAAGCCTGACACCCCATTCCCCACATTTGAAACCTAATTATGCCAGTTATTGGTGCAAAGAAACGTGCCACATCTTGGCAAAGTAGAAAACTATTTTTCGCCCCTCAAAGAGACTTAAAATTTACACATTAAAATCTTTCCTTCCTGAAGTAGTCTTGGCAAGAACTATCAAAAACTATTATGACATTCCAAACATTAATTCATTTCATGACTAATAAGAAATAAAGACTATGCAAACCAAAAGGACAGAAGTTACAGAATACAAAACGTTTACCTTTATGTCTTCTATTTTCATTTCATATACTTCTTCGGCAGTGACACTCGTTTCTGGTCCAAGATCCCAAAGATCATCGTCGTCTTCATCACTCTCAATCATGACCCCAAAGAAAACAGTCTTCGAGTTGAAATGAGAAAATGTGTTATCCCAACAGATCCGATAATCGGCTTCTTCAGACATAGTTGTTCTGCAAAAAATTTAATACAAATTTCAGAATGAAAATAATTAACTTCTTGTAAGTTAAATGAACTGCTCCCCCCCCCCCAATCTTAAATTGCCCTTCATGGCAGACTAGCAATATTCTAGATAATCTTATAAATTTGTCGGAATTTAGAAGGTACTGTACTACATTTGTAAATTAAGGTGAAGGGTCGGTTGCAGGAAATGACGTTTCATTTAATCACAATAAAACAATATTGGTAACAATTAGGGCAAGTATCTTATACTGTATTTAGCTTTGCAACATATTTAAAGTACAGTTGGAAAGTTGGTCAATTTACAAAACATTACTGGTAACAAATGTGGGATTGCCAGTGTTTCGAACAATTGTTCAATATGGTCTGGGTAATCATTAAATAAGAGCCTGTCTGCAGTTAGTTTTCATGGTCACGTAATAATCAAAACAAAGTTAATTGTGCAGGGATTAAGGTCTAGCTAACCACATTTCTTTGCCAGGTGTTTTTTTTTTTTTTTTAAGTTTAGATTAATAAAATGTAAAATATGCTCATATATATTTAATCAGATCTCAACAAAATCTACACATTTTGTAAAAATCACCAAAACTAAAACTTCAATGATCATAAACTAGTGCTATATTCTCGTGTACAAAATTTTATCTTACCTATGGGATCCTTCTCCTCTCCGCAAATCTTGCACAAGTACTTGTCCTAATGGCCCAGCTACGTAAAAATTAATGTCAAGTTCGCCTTGTCCACCATCAATAACCTGCAAAAACCAGAGAAACATGACCAAAAAGAGAATGGGCAAGCTTCATAGCTATACCAGTAGATTCACAATGTTGGGATCTAATACCCTGCACAGTACATTTTATAACTACACGAATGCAAGACTCATGCTTGGGTTATCTTTCAAGATAAACCTCAAATTATGATGAAACAGAAAGGTTATACAGCATTTACTTTTGGGGAAAAAAAAAAAAATTGCCATGCTGCCCAAAATGGGTAGCACAAGAAGTTTCAATGACTATCAATGTTACCCGTTTTATTAACATATGAAAACAAATGTAAGAATGACTATAGAGGAAAAACAAAAGATCATACGTAAACATGAAAATGGCTCTCGTGTTGTTGAACTAGCTAGGCAGTACAACAAATCTTCAGTGGCGGAGGAGGAGGCAGCAGCATTAAAGGATGTCCCTTCCTCATTAATTAAGAAAATGTGTGCAGTATGGGAAGAACTGCAAAGTTTTGCTGAAAAGAAGCGCCCAGATAAAGCTGTAACAGGCCATTGCATCGATCTTTTTAATGCCAATGTGGTGCCTCACTACACACAAGTGTTGGAAAGAAGGGAAAACCAATCTTCAATGGAGCAATTTCTAGCGAGAAAATCAAGCGGCGAGTCAGAAGCAGGTCCTAGTGGTATGCAGGCAAAACGTGCTAGTGTGTGTACCACTGCCTGATGTTATAACGGAAGGGGACTCCTTCCAAACAGCAACACCTCTCCTCACCATCTTCCATCAAGAGTCCTCCATAAAGTTAAGATAAACATATGTACTGTATTGTAGTTAAGACAATAATTGTATTCAGTATTAAATGTATTACAAGTTAATATTTTTCAGGGTGTGGAACAGATCAATTCCATTCCCTTTATTTCTTATGGGAAAAATCGTTTTGACTTACGATATGTCTCTGGGAACTAATTACCATCGTAAATCGAGGCCCCACTGTACTAGTAAACAAATTTTTTAAAATTATAGTTTGATCACTGCAGAATAATAGACAAGGGCTCTGGCAAAACACTCACTGGAAGCACTATAGATAATTACCACTTTCAGCTCAATTGGGGCATTTAAAAACCTAGTGTATTATTGTACCTCAGAAATTTACATTTTCCTACAGCTTGTTATAAATGTGCTAAATATGGTCTATTGCTTACTAACTTAATTTAAATTAGCAACTTAATACAGTAAACTAGTCTTTACTGCAGTATTGCCCAGTTTATACCATTTCAAGTATGTTTATTGAGACAAAGGGATAGAGCAGCTTAGGCTATTTCTACCCCCCCCCAGATTATACCATTACATCTAATTATGTAGACACTACTAAAGAAAGGGTTAATTCAAAGCTTAAACAAGTCTTGGTTCCATGCTCCAGTAGAACAAAAAATATATTGTCTAATTAACATTTTGGAAGGTAATCAACAAGCACTAATGAAGGCTGCAGATGACAATAGGACCAATAATGCTCAAGGTTCATTGATAAATGAGCACAAGACATCAGTTATGCACGCAGTTTGTGATCTAATGAAGAAATCCACAAGGGCCGTTACGAGGTTTCGAACCTGCGTCCGGGAGCATCCTAGACACTGCCTTAATCGACTGAGCTACGACAGGTTATGATGATGTTTGTGATCTAATTTGTTTAAACTTGACCCAGGGCATCGTCCGGACCTACATTGGTTTCAGCGCAATAGCAAAACGCCAATACTTGCGACTAGTCAGCCAAAACTAATATTTTTATGGCTTTTGTTTATGGTGTAGGGAGAAGACACAGGTGTCGGGTGACGTGTCGTGTAGAGGAACAAGTGCCGGGACCCGGGAGAACCATCCTCGCCTACCTGATACTCCACGTCCAGAGACTCGCCAGCCTTCACCAGCTCGTAGAAGCACTCCTCCGTGCCCGCTTTAACCGCTATAGTCATTTCTCTTTCTATATCTCTGGTATGGGAGGTGCGTGCGAGGAAAGTCATTATTATGACTAGAAGGGTGAGGATGTGACTAGCCATTGTTTACACCCTGACGAGCTGGAGGGACAACTAACCTAACCTCTTCCACGCTCCTCCCTTCTCATCTCTTCTCTACTTTCATATCACAAGAAAAAATATATGAATTACTATACAACAAAATTATCTAGCTAGATTTCAAATTATTTAGCTAGATTTATTATTTTAAATCAAGAAAAAACCCATAAAGAAATGATTATTTAGTTTATGGACATCCATAATTATTTTTATATTTTTAGTAAATATAATACCCTCGCGTTTTTCAATGTGCATTTTACACTTTCATGCAAGTAAGAAAAATAAAATACTTGTATTGGATACTTGGATACAGATTTGTATTGTATTTTGAGAATGTGGATTGTTGTGTGTGGTGAGGGTGAGGCGGACCACAACACTCTAGCAGACGACGTCACCATCACCTCACACATGCTGCTACTCCTCTCCTCACAACCATTATATATCCACTTATAACTTATCATTCTCAACATCAACACGTCTCCCATCATCTGTACTGGTGCAGTCATCGGGAGGACAAACCCTTCATGCAAACTGCACTTACTATCAAGAAGATCTCCACTTACTGATGGCTAGAAACAGCTATCGAAATTTTCTGAGATTACTTGATAAATGGCCAGTCGACTCTACGAAAGCTGGTGATCGGTATGATTCATTTTTGTGGCGATGAATAAACTTGCCTGCAACGGATGTCTGAATACAAAATAATTATTATATTTTTGTTGAAAAATACATACTGGTTATAATACATTGCGTAGATATAAGCTAGCAATCTTGTTTTTACACTGCTTCAGGGTCTACTAAGATAATTATGTTCTTTTATCTAAATAGATGTTGGAATAAATCTTTTGAGTATTAGAATTTTCATATTTTCAGTATTTTGAATAGTGTAGTGCTTTGGGATATAGTATTGGAATCAAGAAAATATACAATAACATCATTCTCTTGAATTATGAGACTGTATTGTATATAAAATGTACATTTATAAAAATGTGTGTAACTCAAAATTTCCTCATTTTCAGAGATCTTGGAAAGTATTTGCGGCTTCGTGTGACAGAGGGCTTCAGACATGGTGATGCTACTGCTGTAGATGAAACGGAATGCCAGAGGATATATGCTTCTCTAAATCGTATAGCTACAAATGTTCATGCCAAGCAGTTAGTATTTTGCCTTTAAAAGTTTTTTTGTTAACACTTTAACGTTCCGACTCCTCGGCACTTGCCTGACCCCAAACATTTTTGGCATCTCGAGGTCCTATCTCGCAAACACCTACCTGCCTGATACCTGTTTGATGGAGTTCGGGAGTTCTACTCCTCAAGCCTGGGACGAGGCCAGGCTTGACTTGTGAGAGTTTAGTCCACCAGGCTGTTGCTTGGAGCGGCCCGCAGGCCCACATAATCACCATAGCCCGGTTGGTCCAGCACTTCTTGAACCTAAAATTATCATGTGCTTTCTCCGTTTTATCTGTTATTTGCTGGAGTTACAAACAAATTTAGTGTTAAAATGTTTGCTAGGGAATTTGCTAGATTATAGATACACAATGGTGTATTGATAATAGATTATGCATGACAATACTGAATATGTAAAAGTACGTACAGTATGTGAACATTTTAACATTTTTCATATATTTAACATTCTTTTTCAACAAAAAATTAAAAATATTTAAATGTGTTCACATGATTCATCTACAGTATATTGCTGTGAAAAGAAAACAATTAAATGTATTTCACTATGCAAACATGGTGAAATTACTCATAAATAGAGAAATTATCTTCAATGATGGGTAGTTGAGAGAGATCTGGAGCATCCCTTGACGGCATATTTACCCAAGTTTACCCGAGGGCCGCTAACATACTAGTGACCTCGACAAGGACAGGAAGCCAGCAGCTTGTCAAAGGTTCCCCCATTTGCCCTGAGAAATTTTCAAGCTGGATTTTAAAAATTTAACTGTTTTGGCATTTATGGCTTTGGTGGGTAGGCTGTTCCATGGGTTTATAATCCTGTGGGTGAAAAGGCATCTGTTTTCAGTCCTAGCCACACCTAAAAATAAGTTATCTGAGCACTAGTGTTAATTGAAGTACAGTACAGTACTGTACTGTACTGTACTGTACAGTACTGTACTGTACTATAGTTAAATTTTATAAGCAAAAATATATGTAAAATTGAATTAAAATGTGATTTTCGTGGAAATTTTCATGACATACATCTTCATTTTAGTATTACAGTATATGATAGCAGCTTGTAAACAATTTTGATATTAAGATTTTTATAATTAAGATTAGAAAAAATGAAATGCACCAGGGTTAAAGTTTAATATGAGAAAGAGGGATTAGATAAGAAAGGAGGAACTTCGGCTCTGATTTGAAAATTTTAACTTTGCCAGTAGTAACATCTTAGATTACGAAACCTACAGATATGTTCTGTTCAGAAATAAATAACAGCAATGGTATTAGCATATTGGTTCAGGAATACAGTAATATCTTTGTAATGGTACATTACAGTATTATAGGCATTAATTAAAAAAAACAGTTCATGTGGGGATAAATATGCCGCAGAAACTGGCTCAGCATTACTGAACATGAAAGAATGCCTTAGCAAGCTGTGTAGCAGGGATTAACAAGTTCACGTCACATTTTTATGCTTCTAGGCTAGCCAGATTGATTTAAGCATTGTAGTAAATATTCAGTCGGCAATACTCCAAAATTTTGCAAGTTTGTAATCGAGAGTGAATGTTTTGCATTACATTCTTACATTATTTACGCTCCCAAGTATTCTGAAGTTTTTGTACTATATGCGTTTCTTGAAAGTGGAGGGAGTATTGCATTTTAATGTTCATGAAGGTGTTTTATGGAGTTAATATAATGAAGTTTTGGGGGCATGAAACTTGACCATATATTAGTCGTATACCTTTAAACTTATTTATTTGTGCAAGTCAAGCTTAACACAGTTTTTTCCAGCATGACAGTCTCCATTCTAACTTAGGGCAACCTGTATATTGTTCTGGATGAAAATTTGTAATTTTGCCCATTGTCAAACACTGTGGTGTTCTATGTTAGGGAGCTGCCAGATGAGCTGCTCAGTAAAGTGCTATTGTGCTTTTGAAATTGTATACTATATTTGTAGTGTTCACTTACTAATTACATTTTATTATTTTACATCATATTTTATTTTTCAGATACCCACGTACGCTGAGAAGTACATCAACAGGTCTTACTGCAGAGGAGTGCAAGCAAGTTATATCAGAAGAATTCTTGCAAATATTAAAAGAACAGGACAAAGGATTTTTTTCTGGCTTATTCAAGAGAGGCTGATTATTCTACTGTTTATATAAATTTTATGCTTGTGCTACCATATTAAAAAATAAACATTTTACTTTTTATTAAACAATGGCTTCATTAATGCTGAATAATACTAGAAGGATTACTTTAGAACTATTAAAGAATGATATTATTGCCTCCAGTATGATTAATCTTTCAAGATTGCCAGCCTTCCTTGCTTCAAGGAAGTGCTGCATGTCAAGTAAAACTGAAACATTAAGATATCAAGATACCCAGTCAACACACTCTGCAACTGTTCCTCATATTCCTGTCATGGCAGAGGAAGTATTGGAGCTTCTTAAACCAAAAGACAATGATGTAATTCTAGATATGACTTTTGGAGGTGGAGGCCATTCTTGTAAAATTTTGGAAAGTTCTCCAGGCGTTCGAATTGTCTGTTTAGATAGAGACCCAGTTGCCTTCGAATATGCGAAAGAGTTACAAAGAAAATATCCAGAGAGGATCCTGCCTCTTTTAGGGAAATTTAGGTAAGTCAATCATTAAACTCCATTTTCCTATACTTTTCATCCATGTTTCGTAAATGGTTCTCATTCCCCTATAAAGATGAAGTAGAGCTGTATTCATAGTCAAGCGTGCTACTTTAATTTAGTGCGAGGTACACTCAACCACACACGGGCGACAAGGGCAAGCTGGGAGCACATCTGGGGGGGAGGGGTAGACTCGTGCACTGTAAATATATTGTAATACAGCTCAAATTATTCCTAAAATGTTTTTATGATAGTTTTTACATTTTCAGTGAGTTACCCGAGCTCTTCTCAAAACTGAAATTGAAGAAAAACTTCTTTAATGGCGTACTGATGGATTTGGGTGTGTCGTCAATGCAATTTGGTACTCCGGAACGTGGCTTCATGCTTAGCCAGGATGGACCTCTTGACATGCGCATGGATAGTAATCGGTAAGGCTAGTCATAAAATGTGGTTGTCGTTCAAATTAATTAATATTGAGCTTAATTTATCATAACTTTCCTTCCTTTCCGAGACCCAACCATTGCTGTTTCCACTAAGGGGGGAAAGACACCTCTGTGTAACCACTGTGGTGGGGAAAGTAACCACTATAATCACCATTACTCTACAAGTCTTTAAAAATATTGTTGTATTGCAAATTATGCATTTCTTAAAATTTAACTTTATCCATAAATAAGTAGCTAGAATTGGTTTTATAGCATTGCTTAAAACAATGAGTGTTGAGGCAAGTACAGTACTTTTATTTGTCCATTCACACAAGTTCACATTTATGATCCTTAAAATTCTTTGCAAGTAAATGATACTGTACACTTATATCACTTCATTTTTATACATATATGTAGTTTTAGAAGTCATGTTAATAACACATTGTTATAGCCCGTCATTGCCAGGTGGTCTGATCATTCCAATTACGGTGGAACCTCGGGATACGACTGTCCTCCTTTACAAATTTTTCGGGTTATGAACTTAATTTTGTTGGAAAATTTGAGTCGGGTTATGACCTTTGTCTCGCCTTGCAACTTTGTCGATACAGGTAAGGGTCAATCAAGTGCGTGGTTCCTGGTGGCACAGGCGACCCCACTTCAGTTTACCAGAGCCGCTTAGTGATGATCGCGCTTGAATTCTTTGTAAAGAATTTCATTGTTTTTTTACCTTTTTTTAACATAAAAGTAATTATATATCACTCCATGGGTCCAAAGAAAGTAAATGGTAAGCTTCAACCTAAGAAAATAGTTGAGGATGATGATTAAGGAAAAACAAGAGATCATTCATAATGAGGCAATGTGATGTCTCACTACAGACACGTGTTGAAACGTAGGGAAAAACAAGTGTCTATAGGCAGATTCTTAGTAAGACAAGCAAGCAGTGAGTCACAACCAAATCCTAGTGTTATGCCTGCAAAAATGTAGGAGAGAGTACCCCAGAGAAGTCATCACTGCCTGATATTATAATGGAAGGGGACTCCCCTTCCAAACACAAATACCTCTCCTCCTTTAACATTAGAATTTTTTTTATTGTCATAGTAGTGGGGAGCCGGTCGGCCGAGCGGACAGCACGCTGTACTTGTGGTCCTGGGTTCGATCCCAGGTGCCGGCGAGAAACAATGGGCAGAGTTTCTTTTAACCCTATGCCCCTGTTACCTAGCAGTAAAATAGGTACCTGGGTGTTTGCCAGCTGTCACGGGCTGCTTCCTGGGGGTGGAGGCCTGGTCGAGGACCGGGCCGCGGGGACACTAAAAAGCCCCGAAATCATCTCGAGATAATCTCAAGATGATAGTGAACAAATGAAATGCACTAGGATGTTGTGATGGAGGCAGACTCAACACTAAACAGTTTCAGATATAGTTCTGATAGAGCATAATTAGCTCAGGAAACTAATTGCCAATTGAGAGGTGTGACTAAAGAGGCAAAGTTCAACCCCCCACAAGCACAATTAGGCGAGTAAAAACGTGTAACATTTGTGAAATTATTCAGTTTTGGGTATTCGGGGTAATGGGCATCTAAAATGGAAGCAAATGACAAAGCCACAGTGAGCTTGGCTCTGATTGTTTGGGATTTTTGTGTGGTCTGCTGTGTTATTTTGGTAGTGAGAATACTGTACTGCATTTGCAAAACAAACAAGAACATTTTGTGCCATTATTTGATATGGTCACACCAACCAAACTAATTTGTGTTATTTCTTTCAGAGATCCGAAACAGATGACGGCTTCTGATATATTGAGTCACATTGATGAAGGTGCCTTATACAAGATTCTCAAATATTATGGCGAAGAGAAAAATGCTCGATTGATTTCTCGTGGTATAGTTGAATCACGTTACTTGTTCAAGAAGCTTCACACCACCAGAGAATTGGCAGAACTTGTGATGTCATTGATTGGAGAGCAAAATAGACTAGACAGTCTACAGAGATATTCTCATCCAGCAACCAAAACTTTCCAGGTTTAATTGTATTTGCTTTTTTTTTTTTTTTTGTAATACAATGCTGTACTTGTATATTTCCATTACGAGAATATGAGTTAGAATGAAGGTGAAAAAGTACATTTTACTGCATAAGAGAAGACATATTGAATAGGTACAAAGGATAATTAGAAAGGAGTATTGTCTTGTTATAGACTGAAAGGTCATTATTTTGTGTTGCATGGAAGATAACGTGGTATTATTGCAACTCTTACATTGTCTTTAATTTTATAAACAGTCGGCAATATAATTTGTAGCTCCAACTTCATTTTACACATTGCAGTATACCATGTATTTACTGTAAATGTAAAGTACAGAAACCCTCAATTTGAAAATGCTCTCAAACCTGAACTTGCATGTTCAGTTTATTACAGGTATATAGTTCTTGTGGTTATTTAACATGTTTTATTTGCTTTGCTAAATTATATCATTATATGATGGCTTTGGGGACAAGCAGCCTGGTCGGATTATTGAGGTTCTCTTAGATAATGAAATTCTTCAACCGCATAATAATGCTTTACTTCCCTAGTTGATGATGGGAAAGTGCAAGGTTGTCCCTGTTTTTGGTACCATTATATTAAGTCAAGAGTTACTTTACACAATGTGTTTGGTTCACATACATGAACTAAATTCTTTGATCTAGACAATTCGGATGAACCTGCTGTTATTGTGAACTGTGCCTGGCATAGGGACTGGCAATACCTCCTTTAGTTGGCTACAGTCAAAGCATATCTAATTTTCCACATAATCTTCATTTGATTTGCACAAAGTTTTTCCAGAAATGTATCCATTATGAAAATTAAAAGTTTACTATACCTCACACTTATTAACTAAAATATTTCTTCTAACTAGATGTCTACTTACAGGCACTTCGAATCCTTGTAAACAATGAGCTAAATGAACTAGATTATGGCCTTCGTCTAGCTCATTATTATCTCCAAACTGGTGGTGTTTTAGTGACTTTATCATTTCATTCGCTGGAAGACACAATTATTAAGCGTCATATAACAGGTTAGTTTCCCATCTCGATATTTTGTATGTCTGGTAGTTATTAAAAAAAAATTTTAATGTCGGTTATAGGTATGTAATAAATATCTTCTCGTGTGCAGTTTCTTATGTCACCTATTTTCATTTCCCTATTAAAGGGAGTTAATTTGATGCCACCATAATTAAACATCTATCCATTCACCACATCATCTCTTAGGTGATTCTAGAAGCCTCAGGAACCTTAGAGAATTCAGTTGAATCCCAGATTGCAAGGCTTTTGACCATGTCTTGGTTTTGTAGTGTAGAGCTTTCTCCTGGGAGTACTCGGCACAGAGGTTTGAATCTTCCTCGTGGCTCCTACTGGTTTTGTCACCGATACATCACGTTAATGGGATTTCTTTGTGTAATAATTTGTTATATAACTTTTCTTGATTGTTCTCATTTGATTGAGCCACGTTTAGTTTATCATTGGGATAATGATTATCAGATTTCCTTCAAGTCAAGGATCGTTATTACTGTACTGTACTTGCTGATTGTTCCTAAATCATGTTTCTCTATATTTCAGGTGTGGATATTGACAAGACTCCTGCAAGTATAGGGTTAGGTGTAGCAAAACATCGAAGTGCTTTATCCACATATTCAGCCATGGAAATAAAAGACATAATGACTAAGAATTGGACTTCATTAATAAAGCATGTTGTCTTGCCCTCGGAGGAAGAAGTTGTAAACAACCCTCGAGCTAGGTCTGCCAAACTCCGGGCAGCTCTCAAGGCATGAGTGTGCATAATGAACTCTTGGAAGGAATTCAGATGCATCAAGTAATACATTACAGTAAGAGAATAATTTTATACTGTGAAATGTACTCTACAATTTATTTTTGGGACAAAAATAATGCAGATTGAAACCTTCTTGTATAGCAATTTTGATTGTAAAATAATTTCTTGATATGGAATGTTTTTTTTTTTCCTTTGTGATCAGGTGATCTACCAGGTTAGAGTTTACCCATGTAGATCAATGGTGAGGTCTGTATGACAGTGCTAAGGTGTAAATACTCATATTACTAAAGGTACTATGAAGTAGGACTAGGAAATAACGGTTTAGGAGATTGAACAACATGAGGAAACTAGTACAAGATTTTGTCATGGAAGTAATCATATTGTGGAAGATGATCATGTGTAGGGAATGAGTCACAATAACGTGGCTGAAGTATGTTGACCAGACCACACACTAGAAGTTGAAGGGACGACGACGTTTCGGTCCGTCCTGGACCATTCTCAAGTCGATTGTGCATGATCAGGTGCTGCATAAGTGTGACTATGTAAGACCAATTTTGCATGTGGGTAAAAAGTCAAAATTGAAAGGTTTTGGTATGCTTTGCGTATTTGTGGTTTTTTTATATGTTCATTTTATGTGATGGGTAAAGTTTTAGCATGTATGTATCATAGGCATTCTTCAGACATAACTGAATAGCCATGAATTATGACAGGAGTTTAAAGCATTGAGTACAGTAATTATATTTTTGGGCGTGTTGAGCAATTATGTTAAATCTGCATATACCCAGTCTGCTTGCTATTTCAGATTAAGTGATGTTGCTGACATGTGCATCGATAAATGCTTTATGAGAACAAATTGGTAACAAAGAGGATGACACGAAGTGAGTATGTATTGAACATGTGTAGATAATGTTTAAATAATGTAAAGGGAAGAGAGAGAGAAAAAAAATCAGCAGATGGCCTTGGTAACCCACAGTAATTTTGAGTTTCATATATAATTAAAAAAAATTACAATGAAGACTGAATACTTATAATGAATACAATAATTAAAATAATAATGATCTTTGTGTACACTATCAAATGTAGCAATTACTGATGCCATGTCGCCTATCCTACAACCTGCCAACTATTTTATTCTACCACACTTTGGAGAGAGAAAATGGATGGTTAGCTATTACGAATATTGTATTATGTGGGATCAAGTGTGGCCTATCCTAGTGATCATCCTCATGTCAGAAATGGGTAGCTGGAAATTGTAATGGGTAAGTTACATATTGTCACTCATGATTAACTCGTGGACACTTAATGGATGAGACGTACACATTATTGTCAGAACTATTGAGTGGTGGAGGAGGCTGCTGCTGCAGGTGGAGTGGTGGTGGAGGAGGAGGAGGCTGTGGGTGGAGTGGTGGTGGAGGAGGCTGTGGGTGGAGTGGTGGTGGAGGAGGCTGCAGGTGGAGTGGTGGAGGAGGAGGCTGTGGGTGGTGGAGGAGGCTGTGGTGGAGGAAGCTGCTGCTGCGGGTGGAGTGGTGATGGAGGAGGAGGAGGCTACGGGTGGAGTGGTGGTGGAGGAGGAGGCTGCAGGTGGAGTGGTGGAGGAGGCTGTGGTGGAGTGGTGGAGGAGGCTGCAGGTGGAGTGGTGGAGGAGGAGGAGGCTGCAGGTGGAGTGGTGGAGGAGGAGGCTGTGGGTGGAGTGGTGGAGGAGGAGGCTGCAGGTGGAGGAGGAGGAGGCTGCGGGTGGAGTGGTGGTGGTGGAGGAGGAGGAGGCTGTGGTGGAGTGGTGGTGGTGGAGGAGGCTGCGGGTGGAGTGGAGGTGGTGGAGGAGGCTGCGGGTAGAGTGGTGGAGGAGGTGGAGGTGGCTGCGGGTGGAGTGGAGGTGGTGGAGGAGGCTGCGGGTAGAGTGGTGGAGGTGGTGGAGGAGGCTGCGGGTGGAGTGGAGGTGGTGGAGGAGGCTGCGGGTGGAGTGGAGGTGGTGGAGGAGGCTGCGGGTAGAGTGGTGGAGGAGGTGGAGGTGGCTGCGGGTGGAGTGGAGGTGGTGGAGGAGGCTGCGGGTGGAGTGGAGGTGGTGGAGGAGGCTGCGGGTAGAGTGGTGGAGGTGGTGGAGGAGGCTGCGGGTGGAGTGGAGGTGGTGGAGGAGGCTGCGGGTAGAGTGGTGGAGGAGGTGGAGGAGGCTGCGGGTAGAGTGGTGGAGGAGGTGGAGGAGGCTGCGGGTGGAGTGGAGGTGGTGGAGGAGGCTGCGGGTAGAGTGGTGGAGGTGGTGGAGGAGGCTGCGGGTGGAGTGGAGGTGGTGGAGGAGGATGCGGGTGGAGTGGAGGTGGTGGAGGAGGCTGCTGCGGGTGGTGGAGGTGGTGGAGGAGGGTGCAGCAGCAGCGTCCTGAGGGTGTAGCCAGCCGTGACTCACCCTCCGGCTCCTGCCATATAAGGACGCCGGCCCCGCCACGCCCGCGACATCACCCGCTCCTAAACTACTCGCTAGTACCTCCATAATTACCTCCCTTACACCTAGAATAACTATTGCTAAGTGTAACTAATATCGGTACGGTACGGTACCACACTGCAGTACGGTACGGTAGCACGGTACATCCTAGTTCTCGTACCTGGCGCCATCCAATCCAGTCAAAAACTATTCATAAATAGTTCTACATTCACACAAAATTTGAGAACATTGTTTACATGAGAGTTGCTGTTATAGCACCGCACGTAATGATGATATAGATTTAGATTTAGAAGTTTTATGAGTGATTTATAACATTTGTAACTTTGTCAATAGGTGTACAGCCATAGAAGAACATAGATTACAGTTAGAGCGGCGAGACTTGTGTTGACAGACATAGAGCATAAAATTAGAATGATGCTAATAATATGAAATATAACTAACAAACTAAATACTGTATTATAGAGATTTGGACCACCTAGGCATTTTGCCTCATATATTAAGGTGTCTCGCAGCAGGATTACATGACGTGTAGTGAATCTTGCTGGCAGCGTAATGAGTAAGATTGCGTCCAGTTGTGGTGGTGATATGATCAGTTGAACTGTGTTTGTTCTTCCAGGCCATGTTTGGCAAGCACGGCACAACTGGCCCGTGGTATCTTTTATTCATGGCTTGCTGCAGGTTTAGTCCCTGCTGCTGCTGCTGCACATGACTATTTTATTTTTTTAATCTTAAAAAAGTAGGTTCGCTTAATTAACTTGGCCAGCGTCAAAAATGTGCAATATTAATTTTCAATTTGGTGTAGTGATTTAGTTACTAAAGATTAATGTTCTTGCTGGGGGAGATTAGTCGACGTTAGTCTTAAGGGGAGGGGGGGAGGGTCTGGGTAACCCTAACAGGCTCCATCTACCTGAAATTGTCACAGTAACATAACTTGTTACTTACGTTAACTCGTGTTTACTGATATGGTGGGTGATGCCAGGTGTGGGTGATGGGTGAGGTCAGGTGTGGTTGGTGGGTGAGGCCAGGTGTGGGTGATGAGTGAGGCCAGGTGTGGCTGATGGGTGAGGCCAGGTGTGGCTGATGGGTGAGGCCAGGTGTGGCTGATTGGTGAGGCCAGGTGTGGGTGATGAGTGAGGCCAGGTATGGGTGAGGGAGACGTGAGACTGGGTGGAGCTCTCAGCCACATACTCATGGGTATGATGGATGAGGCGGTTGCAATAGCTACAGTCTCTGACGCCCCAAATAGGGACCGTTGTCATAACAACCTGGATTGATTACCTAAGATAAGTAACCTTTTTTATTTATATCGCAAGTCCTTTTTCTTTGGCATCTCTTAGCAACTGCCTCTTGTATAGCAACTATACATCAACTCACTATTTTTCTATAGTATTATTTGTCGGAAACGCTGTGCTTATTAGTGGCTTTAGGCATAGTATGTAGTAGCTCTCTCTAGAAATCCAACATTATGTTTGTAGCTCATCTTGTATGTATGTACTTTTACCTGAATAAACATTTATTTATTTATAGCATCTGGCAGGTAAATAGTCCACCGCACAAGATGGGTCAAGCTATCAGGAGCCAGATTCACGAAGCAGTTACGTAAGTACTTACGAACGTGTACATCTTTCCTCGATCTTTGACGACTTTGTTTACATTTATTAAACAGTTTACAAGCATGAAAACTTCCCGATTAACTGTTGTTATTGTTATAAACAGCCTCCTGGTGATTCGGAGCTCATTAACTGTTTAATAATTGTAAACAAAGCCGCCAAAGATTGAGAAAATATGTACAGGTTCCTAAGTGCTTGCGTAACTGCTTCGTGAATCTGGCCCCAGGTAACTAGTCCATTTACTACAATATCAGACTTGTTTTTCGCCTGTCCCTTGTTCTTCCCTCGTCCCGTCCTTATCTTTGTCAATGAGCTGTTCAAAATTCTTCGGCCGTACGAACTGTTTCAGCGGAGACTGTGCTAAAAGGTGTTTTCGTCATGGCTCTCCGGCCATTGTGATTTCCAGTCATGCCTTTTGACTTGAAGAAAGTTGTGGCAAGACTTTCTAAGCTTTCTCGCAAGTTTGATGAACCACCAGCTGGAGAGTGAAGGAGGTGGATGTGAGGAGTGAGAAAGATGAGGAGAACAGAGGGTGAATAAGAACAAATGAACAAATCCACAAGGGCCGTGACGAGGATTCGAACCTGCGTCCGGGAGCATCCCAGACACTGCCTTAATCGACTGAGCTACGACAGGGTTAAAAGGGTGTTGTGGAGTGAATAAGATGTATTTAACAATGGATGACGAGGAAGGTTGACTATTCCAGGAACAAGAAATGTTGGGTCTAAAATGTTTTATAATGTGCTGGACGGCCATCATGTAGGAGACATCTCCCGTCACGCAGGGTGCAGTCGCACCTCCACAGATCTCCAGTATCATCTATTGATACTGGTAATGGCTCCAAAGGGCCACCACTTACGGGCTGTTCATGCCCGTGCCACCTTTTGGGTGGCTTAATCTTCATCAATCAATCAATCATCATGTAGGATTCGACAGTGGCAACTCCAGAGTGCGCTCAGGGCTGCACGGGTCGTGATCCATCAGGCTATCGTAATTCCCCACAGGGAAGGTGAAATATGCAACCCGTTCTCGCACTTTCGTATAGTCAATATTGACTTATTAAATACGTGCATATGTGACATACTAATTTATTGTGAATATTTTAGTTTACCTTGAAAAGCTTCATAGAAAA